TCTGATTGAAGAGGACATTCATAACATTTATCAAATTGCTGGTCTAATAGCCGATGTTAGAAAATCCTGGGAGAAGACGCATAACCTCTTTATGACTATTTGGGACATGCTGACAAATTGGCTCCCTTTTGGGTGGTTGAAAAATGCCTTCAGAAAAGCTGTTAAAACCTGGCTATTCTGGCAGGCCTGGGGCTGTTTACCTCATTGTTGAGGTCCAGCCCCGATCAAATAGAATGTATGTGTGTTGATTTTAACCTGTTTTATTTTCATTTTTTTTACCATTTCTTTTTTTCCTCGTTGTAAGCCTCCCAGAGTCCTCCGGGATTGGGCGGCCTATAAATCGTATAAATAAAATAAATAAATAAATAAATATTTGTTGGAACTGTTTTTCTGATATATTTTTTTATTTTTGTCAATTTTTGTTGTATTCAATGTTTCCCCCTTTGTATGGATACTTGTTCTTAGTTTAAACCAACTAGACCTAATAATCTTGCTGATAAATAGTGAACTACTGCTCACTCCAACTCGCAATAGTTCAAGAGAGGGAATATGTTATATATTTTATGTTATATTTTATGAATATATCACAAATATGATATCAGTTATGATTATAGAAGGTCTGCATATAGAAGGCCTGTAATATAAACATTTTATGAATGCAAACTCACAAATCTAGCATTTGCGCACAAGTTTTGTCTATCCCATAATATGGATATCTGGGCGCACCTGAGGACACTCTGGAATTGGGACAAACTCCTGCCCTGTAGCCACATGAAATGGGGTAAACCCTGTACTTTTGTGCACTGCATTGTTATATGCAACCTCTGCAAAGGGAAGGAGTTCAGCCCAATTGGTCTGTTGGTACTGGACGTAACATCTTAAGTAGTGCTCCACCATTGCGTTTGCTCTCTCCGCAGCACCATTGGTCATGGGGTGGAAGGCTCTACTAAGTCCCTGTGACGACCCCACCATTGCCACCAATCTGCGCCAGAACCGGGCAGTGAATTGCACTCCCCTGTCTGAAATTATCCTTTTGGGGATGCCATGGAGTCTATACACATGGGTAATGAACAGTTTGGCCAGCTTCCTAGCAGATGGAAGGCCGGTACATGCTACAAAATGAGCTTGCTTGGAGAACAGGTCTATTATCGTCCAAATGACCTTGTTCCCTTGGCTGTCTGGTAAATCTACGATATCGGTTCCCATGGCCGAATTGGATCTGACACCTGCTGTAAAAGTCCAGGAGACCGGCCAGGTTGGGCCTTCATGGTAATGCAAACAACACAGCTCCTTACATATTCCTCTATGTCCCTCCTCATGTGGGGCCACCAGAACTGGCGATTTACTAAATATAGAGTCTTGAGGAACCCAAAATATCCAGCCGAGCTAACGTCGTGGCAGCGACGCAGCATGGCCACTCGTACCACACTTGGTAGATATAACTTCGACTCCTTCCAGGCAAAGCCCTCTTGCTGTGTTAATAACGTTTGATTTTCTTGAAACCACTGGTCCATTGGGAGTACTGCTTTGATTGCTCTGGAGAGGTCCTCCCCCTGGGCATACAAGTTTGGTGCTGGTGTGGCCTGTTGAGTGGCTAGCACCCTAGGCTGTGCGGTCGGGATGATAGCCTGTACTAAATCCTCCCTTTTATTATGATACTGTGGTTTGCGGGAGAGGGCATCGGCTAAGAAGTTCTTGCCCCCCGGTATATATTCTAATTGGAAGTTGAATCACTGAAAATACAAGGCCCATCTAACTTGTTTTGGCGACAATCTTTGTGGGGTCTGGAGGGCCTCCAAATTCTTGTGGTTTGTCCAGACCTCGAAGGGTATCCCTCCCCCTTCTAGTAAATGTCACCACATCAACAGGGCCCACCGGACCGCAAATACCTCCTTCTCCGAAATGGGCCAGTTGCGTTCGGTCCCTGACAACTTCCTCGAGGTATAGGCACACGGCTGTAGAACTCCTTCATTGTTCTTTTGTAAGAGGACTGCGGCCACCGCCACATCACTGGCATCTGCCTGAACCACAAATGGCAAATAGTGGGCTCTGGATGTTAATAAAGAAATTGGTCTATAGTTCTTTATTTGTTGCAAGTCTGTTTCTTCTTTTGGGATAAGAGTTATATAAGCCTCTGACCAAGAATCTGGTATTTTTGCTTTCAATAACAGCTCATTAAATACTTCTAACATGATATTGCTTAGTACATCTTGTAGTGTTTTGTAGTATTCCTCTGGTAATCCATCTGGACCTGGCGTTTCCCCCTTTTTTTGTCTTTTTATTGCTTCTATTACTTCCATCATTGTTATTCTCTCTTCTAGTGCCTTTTTTAAATTTTTCTGGAATGTTAGGTGTTNAGCTGCACTGGCTTCCCATTGGTCTCCGGACACGCTTTAAGGTGCTAATCATTACTTTTAAAGCCCTACATGGTATAGGACCTGGCTACCTGAGAGACCGCCTCCTGCCATTTACCTCCCAGAGACCCATAAGATCACACAGACTAGGCCTCCTCCAGATTCCATCTGCCGGTCAATGTCGACTGGCGACTCCCTGGGGGACGGCCTTCTCTGTAGCTGCTCCGGCCCTATGGAACGATCTTCCCATGGAGATCCGTACCCTTACTATCCTTCCGGCTTTCCGCAAAGTGACCAAGACCTGGCTGTTCCGGCAGGTCTGGGGCTGTTGATTTATCCCACCCCATCCTAAGCCATGAATGTTGTGGAATTTTAATGTTGTTTTTATTTTTGTATGTTTCCCCTTCCTTTTTATCTGTAAGCCACCCTGAGTCTCTCGAGAGTGGGCGGCATACAAACCCTATAAATAAATAAAATAAATAAATAAATAGTTTCGTGTTGTTCTCCTCTCTGGGTTGTCAGTAATAATAACAAGCATCCGATTTCAGCTGCTTCTATCTCTGTTTCTTCCTTCTATGCGGCCGCCATTGCTCAGTCCTAACCAGATGGTAGGATATTTCTTCATCCGTTTAGGGGGATTTCTCCTATCTGCCAGGGGATTTGCCTTATCACCCCAGCGTCTGCAGAGTATCCCCTTTGATCTGCTGGTCTCTTCGGGATCAACAGTGCTCCAAAAATGAGCCCAAATGAAGAAGTTAGAGTTAGGGGTTAGGAGAGCTCCCTTACCCCGCTCTAGGCACAGTGACGTCACCATCCGGAAGTTGCCTTTTAATTAGGTGTAAAATTTTCACAAAACCAAAGTGTCCAGCTAATCTGGAGTCATGGCACCTTGCCTTTAAGCACAGTCGTTGGCTAGCTGGAACATAGAACTTCCCTCCCACCCAAGCTAAGTTATCTTTCATCAGGCAGCTGGATTTGTGGCTCAAAAACCATTCATCACTGGCCAAAGCTTGTTTAAAAGTTTTGGTGGTGTCATTGTCCATCAATGTTTCTTGTTTTGCCTGGGATCTGGTGATTACTTTAGTGGCTAGCTGATTGTTTTTTACTATGGGTTTGATTACGTCTGACTTCGTACTATTGTATTGTGGTTTTCTGGATAGTGCATCTGCCAGAAAGTTTTTTCCCCCCGGAGAGATATCTGAGCATAAACTCAAACCATTTAAAGTACTGAGCCCATCATACTTGTTTTGGGGAGAGTTTCCTTGGGGTCTTTAAGGCTTCTAAATTTTTATGATCCGTCTAGACTTCAAAAGAGATCTTACTCCCCTCTAGGAAATGCCTCCAGGTTAAAAGTGCCCACCAAACTGCATAAGCTTCTTTCTCCCAAATGGCCCACCTCTGCTCAGTTTCATTCAGTTTTTTGGATGGGAAAATATATGGTTGTAATTGGTCTTGCTCATTTTTCTGAAGCAGGACCACTCCTATTGCCACATCGCTGGCACCTGCTTGTATGATGCATGGTTTCTCTGTGTCCGGGTGTTTTAGAATTGGCTCTGCTGAAAACAGCCATTTAAGTTTTTCAAATGCAGCTTGGCATTCCATTGTCCAGTTCAAAGGCTGCTTCGGTTTTGGATTATCCTTTCCCTTCATTTTTAAAAGCTTGGTGATGGGGAGAGCAATCTGGGCAAAAGTGGGAATAAACTGGCAGTAAAAGTTGGCGAATCCCAGGAAGCTTTGTAGCTGTTTATGTGTACAGGATGGTTCCCAATCAAGTACTGCCTGCACTTTTAAAGGGTCCATTTCCATGCCATAAACCTTCCCCAAAATGTGAGGGGATCTCAAGGTGCTTCGGTGCTAGGAAAGCAGTTGTAAAATATCAATTGTCACAGGCACTGCTAATAAATCGCATCCAAGACCCCCCTCCTCCCAATTGAATGGCAGTATCACTTTTAGGGATCTGACAAATAGCTTCCTGAATGTACCCATCAGGGCCAATATTCAGAGTTACAATTCCAATATATCTGGAAGGCACTATACTAGTACAGGCTTTTGTAAACAACACAATAAACAGGAGCCAGCCTTTTTAAAAACATTGAAGATAATAGGTTGATGCATTTTGTATGACTGAACTAGTACTCCATAATCTCTATTACATATAGTGCTGGGATTGACTGTGGTTATCTCTTGAGGATAGCAGATTCTCTCTCAGATTTTGATAAGTATACCTTCATAGGTTAGCACAGTAATTTGTCATATACGTAATTCTATAAACGATTAAATTGCTGATCAGATCTGAGCATTGCATTCTGTTTATTAATGTGATATGTTGTGCTTAGGAAATAAAAACAATGCAATTAAGTTTGTAGTTGAAATTCCCATCGTAGCAAAGAGGTATAACTAGTGACATTATTCTGGCTTTAGGCTCACTGAGAGTTCAGCTTTATAAATGATAGCCCTGTATAAAAACAGGATTGTTACCCAGATAGTCTTATTATTATCCCATGAATTAATATATATAGATTATAGACTATTTATTAATTAGTTAACTAGAAATAAATAAATAATCTTTCAAGAAGGTACTAGATTTTCATTTTGATATATTGTAAATGATGGTGAATATTGAATTCTGTTGTTTTGTATTTAAAGTTAGGCGCTGTGGAATATTGAATGCCCCTGAGAATGGCTACATAAAATGTTCTGGTGATGGAGATAATTATGGTGCAACTTGTGACTTTTCCTGCATTGGTGGATACGAGTTGCAGGGAAGTCCAGCAAGAGTTTGCCAGTATAATTTAAGCTGGTCAGGAACAGAGTCAACCTGTACATGTACGTGAGTAATGAATAAATCCTGTAAGAGAGAAGAATATAGATCAGGATTATGTGCATTATTTGAAACATAGCCTAACCTAATACCCCTTCAAGTTTCTTCAAGTTTTTTGTTAACATAACTTACATGTAGACTAAATGGATATTATTTTGCCAATAAGCAATAAAAAAAACCTTTATTTCATGTTGTTAATAGGTTGGCAAAATGGTAGACAACATACTAGTATTGCTTTTTACTTTTGTATTCATTGTATTAAAGCCAAGAAAGTTCTCTTTTTCCATAGATCTTCAGTGTTAGAGATTTATGGAAATTTATGGGGGGAAAATCTATAAATATACTTTCTGTTTCTTTCCTAAAGTTTCCCCTCATTATAATTTTAAATTCTTTTTTAAACTTAAAAAACAAATGATGCTGTACTGTTTAGAATTGGAGTGAAGAGCTTTGTGGAACACACTCAGTAAAAGGTTACCTAGATTACAGTGATGTGTGGTGAAGATGAGGAGGAGTGAGGCAGCAGCGGTGGCTCCTCAGGGATGGTGACAGAAGGGGCTTCGGACACCTGCGCCATCTTCCGCCTGTCTTCCAGGACTCGCCCAGCCCAGCGCGCGGCACATTAAAGTGCATGCCACCTCACCCCACCATAGAGTGAAACATGTCCTGCTTAATAACCAGGAGGCGTGCTGGCACTTTAAAGTGCATGCCGCCACCTCGGACCCGGCCACAGAGCCCACCGGCACTTTAAAGTGCATGCCAGTGCATGGCTTTTTAAAAAAAAATAAGTGCCAGCCCGTGCACACGCGCGCACACACACACACACACACAAATTACTTATAATAAAACAAATTACAATTACTTACAAATATTTTTGAATTCCTTCCCCCTGCCCCCTCCCTCGGACCCACATACCTTTTCCAGCTGTGTCAGAGGATTTCAACTCTCCTCTTGTCCTCCATGATGAAAATGTAAAAAGAAAAAGGCAACTTAGGCAAGATTTACTGCTGCCAGAGCAGGAGGCAGAGAACCATGTGCCTCCTTTGCATAAGGAATTTTTTAGACTTTTAACCCTTGCTCAGAGTTAAGCAAGGGTTAAAAGGCAAAAAATTCCTTATGCAAAGGAAGCACATGGTTCTCTGCCTCCTGCTCTGGCAGCAGCAACTCTTGCCTAAGTTGCCTTTTTCTTTTTACATTTTCATCATGGCGGACAAGAGGAGAATTGAAATCCTCTGACTGACACAGCTGGAAAAGGTATGTGGG